TGGAGGTCTTTCCTCCTATGGGGCCCATTGCAGGTCCCTTTGTGAATCCGTCCTCGCGCAGCGCCGGGTTTGCCTCCGAGATGAGGGCTTTGGTCGAAGGACTGTCGGGGCAAATTGCGTCCCTGGCAGGCCGGGTAGATCAGATGCAGTCGGAGCGAGCTGTCTCCACTGCGGCCCCTCGGTCAGCAAGCAGGAAGAAACACAAAGCATCTCTCGCATTCAAAACATGTCTCTTCCGGGGAACCCCCCGTTCCCAGCCGCGACTCTTCCGCTGATTTGGGTGAGGCCGAGGCTCAGGCTAGTTGCACCGGGTCTCCTCTGGTACCTCGGGCACTGAACACCAACAGGGATGCTGGCAGCCAAGCCTCCAATTTCAGGGCAGGGCTTTCGGGTCAGGGCACACGTTGCGCCTCCCCCCTACTTTCAGCCAGCCAGGGTTCACCGCACGGTAACGGTACAAGGATTTTCCCTTGAGTCCGGTCTCCGCTGTGGGTTTTGACTCCCTTTTTACCGACCCACGGGCATCCCCAGAGGGAGCCGACCCTGTCATGAGACGCACAGTCAAACACGATCTCTCTCACATATTTAAGTTGAAAGGAGACAGTTCGCTCGCGTCGGATACAGCCGGTACCTTGGGCGGTCCCTCAGAGTCTTCCATCCGGAACGACTCGGTGAGCCACGCCGTTGGGGTGATGCGGAGTATCATGAATCCTAGTGATACGATGTATATACCCCCATTCTTGATCCTAAGGCAACTACTTACTGTTGCTTCAATGCTTATGGGATCACGGGCGTCGGGATCCAAAGCAACCCCGTCAGCACGTCTCCCCCTGTCCGGCCGAGTGCTGGGTGGGGCGCAGGGCGTGCAAACAGTGTTGATGGGCGGACGTTGGTCAGCCGCGGAGGAGGCTTAAGGCCACCGGGTGGGGTAAAACTTATGCAACACTTTCCGCTGGACCAAACGCTAACTGGTCAGTGTGGTTGCGGGATCAGACCCCAAAGTGTGGGATGAGACCAAAATGCCAAGACCAAAAGGCGACACATTTACTGGTGGGCCACCGCACATCTACGTGCAACATCCCCTAGTGTCACCTGGCCGGGGCTACTACTGTGCAACGAGACGCAGTCTTAGATGCATGTGTTTTCGCCGGCAAACTGATTCAGGGGGTACGTCCCCACCTCAGTGACACAGACTGAACATCTTCCACCCTCTTTGTTGGGGAGATGGTGGGTGCAGTCTCGGAGCTTCGGAGTGTAATGAACCAGATGGTTCATATCGAATCCGCTAGCCAGTTGGCCACTGCCAAGGGTAAACGGAGGTCACCCCAAGCACAAAAAACACAACGCCCTAAGGCGACGTCCGCTAGCCAGAGTCAGCCAGGAGGCAAGCGCTCATACCCTTCCACGGGAGGGAAGGGTAGTGGTGCGCCCCAGGGAAGAAGGGACCAGGTGGTGGCTCCTCACCCTCCTCGGCCGGTCGTCCACCCCGGCAGCGGGGGAAGCATGTTTGACGCTTACCTCTGCGACCGGGGGGACATGTGTTCGGCGAGTGGCCAGGTCACAACTTAGTGACTATCGCAGGCCTTGGGGAAACTCACCTCATGGGAGAAGAGAGCACCCACACCTTGCAACTGTCGTACCCACGGCCACATATCCCTGTCGTACACAGATTTCGCCGGTGTAGTCCGATTTGGAGGCAGCAGGTGACCGATCCCTGAACTTTCCAGGTGGTGACATTCAGTTACAGGATACCGCTGAAATCTCCATCTCCCCCATCAGTGTCTCCCCTATTGGGGGCACTGCCAGGGGACTCCCGCAAGGCGGAAGCAATCAGGCAGGAAGTAGACAGTTTGCTGGAAAAGAGCGCCATACACAAGGTAGATCAGCCGGCATTAAGTCCAAGCTTCTACTCAAATGTGTTCGTAGTACCAAATCTACAGGTGGCGGGCGTCCAGTTCTGGACCCAGGCAAACTGAATCAGTACGTGCTCCTGCTGCTTCACCAAACCTCGGTACACATCAATCTGTACCTAGATGACTGGTTATTACATAACTCTAACAAGGGGTTATTAGCCGAGCAAGTAAGGCTAACACAGGATTTACTTCACCAGTTGGGCTCTTTAGTAAATCAGACAAGTCCCATCCCTACCCAACGCAACAGTTGGTGTTCCTGGGCATGGAGTTTGACACAGAAGCTTGGTATAGCTATTTCAAGCGTGTTGCTTGGCGCTAAGCGTCAGCGTTCCCTCAGTGTCCCTCCGAGAACTAATGCGGATCATCGGAAGGGTGATTCCCCAGGCCGCATTACACAGCCGCCCGGTACAAGGCTTGTTGCTACAACACCGAGCTCTTCTACGGGAACTAGATAGGCGGGTATTGATCTCAGACCAAGCGAAGGAAGCCCTGCCCTGGTGGTAGTCACTGGCCAACCTCGGACAGGGGTCCCCTTGGACCCACTCGCTGCAGCTATGACTCTGGTAACAGATGCCCCCTCCAAGGTTGAGGATCGCATCTATTGGATGAACAAGCCCAAGGATATGGTCCCCGCATTAGTTTCGGGACCACCATATCGACCGGCTCGAACTGAAAGCAGTGCACTTAGCACTACCACACTTTCTACCCGCAGTTCGAGACCACAGACAAAGATAGACCTGTTTGCCACACCCCGGAAAGCCAAGCTCCCAACGTACATAACACTCTTGCCGACTCCAGGAGCCTGGGCCAGGCTTTGCTGACCCCGTGGACCCACATAGTTGTGTACGCCTTTCCTCACTTCCTGCTAGTTCACCGGGCACCGGAGAAAACTTTGACAGGTGCACACCTGCATATTGTCATTGGTCGCACCCAATTGGCCAACCAAGGCCTAGTTTCCACTTCTGTTGGAAATGCTAGTGCTTCCAGACCTACCGGACCTGTGTCCCAACCAGACGGCGCACTACCAACGAGCCCAGTGGGTATCACTTACACGCATAGAGGCTCTCAGTAGACAAGCACATTTGAAAGGTTTATCTGAGTGGGCTGCCAACGTCCTGGCCAGGGCGAACAAGAATTCCACCAACGCTGCCTACATTTCTAGGTTGCGAGCATACACTGTTTGGTGTAGCAGAAGGGAGATTGATCCATACCATCCCTCTATTGGCCAGGTAGCAGACTCCTTCGTCCACCTGTTTGACGAAGTGGGTTTGTCCTACGCAGCGATCGTTGGCTACAGGTCGGCCTTGTCCCCCACCATTGAGAATGCTTTGGGAACACGACTAACCAATTGTCCTATTATTAGGAGACTATTTACTGCTTTCCATATCAGAGGCCGAGACCCCGTACAAGGGAACCGTCCAACTGGGATTTGTCGGTTGTGCCTCTCCGATCAGCACCACTAAAAATTTTGACGAGGAAAATAGTCTTCCTACTGGCCCTCTCCTCAGGTAGGCGCCGGCCAGAGCTGGGGGCATTGTTCTTCTCGTACGATGTACCGCCGTTATGGACAATCAAGTTGTGCTAAAGACACGAATCCGGTTTCTCGCCAAGAACCAAATCCCAGGACACAATCCTCACTTGATCGTCATCCCCTGGCTGTCAAATTTCGACGACCCAGAGGATCAGGAGGAATTGCTTCTCTGCCAGGTTCGAGCACGGAGTTGCTACCAAAACCGTACAAGGGATTCAGGACGGGGTGCCAAGCACATGTCTTTGTGTTACTGCTCAGGCAGGCAGGATAGGCCGGCCTTCCCGACTTCCATCACCAGGTGGATTACTGCGACTGTATTATAGGTTTATAATACTTTAACTTCCTCGACACAGAGCTTGCAGAGACACCAAGTACGAGCGCATGAGGTCCATGCGATTGCTAACTCACTAGTGCTAGCGTCAGGCGCCCCCTCGAACATTTTCTGAGGGCAGGCTTCTGGAGAGCGCAAACGTCTTTATCAACTACTACCTAAGAGACACCTAATCCATTGAGGAGGGCCTCTTTTAGGCTGGGTCCCATCGTAGCGGGTCACACTTTGGTTGCTGACCCAGCTCGAACGACCACAAGTATCCCTGCGCATAGGCGATAAGTCAGTCTCAGCATTTTTGTGGACGGATTTCTCTACCATCAGCACCCCCTGGAAGCTTCCAGGTCTTGTTTTTCGACCTTTGCCCTCATGCAGAACTGTTTCGGTCTTTACTTCGAAAGCATACTACCCCCTAATTTAGGTTTTGGGTCTAGCTTTCTCGGGCACACTGAACCCTGTCTCCGTAGCAGCATTTTTTGCTTCTTGCTCCGGGGACAGCACAAGCAAGTAAGACACCACCCTCTTTTGGGTCTGATGAGGTGATGAGTGATTGCTGTAGAGTGTATCATCCCGGACTTTCATCATTTTCTGTTTGCTCGGAAAACCCGCCAACTATCGGC